TGGCCTCCCAGATTCAAGCAGTTCTCCTGCCTCAGCCTCCGAAGTAGCTGGGATTACAGGTGCCCACTTTCTTCCACAATAGTTAAACTAATTTACACTTCCACCAATAGTGTAAAAGCATTCCCTTTTACTCTACAGACCTGCCAGAATCTGTTATTTTTTTTAACTTTTTAATGATAGCCATTCTGACTGGTGCCAGACGGTATCTCATTGTGGTTTTGATTTGCATTTCCCTAATGATCAGTGATGTTGAGCTTTTTTCATATGCTTGTTGGTCATATGTATGTCTTCTTTTGAAAAGTGTCTGTTCATGTCATTTGCCAACTTTTTAATGGGGTTGTTTTTTTCTTGTAAATTTGTTTAAGGTCCTTATAGATGTTGGATATTAGACCTTCATTGGATGCATTGTTTGCAAAAATTTTCTCCCATTCTGTAGGTTGTCTGTTCACTCTGTTGATAATTTCCTTTGCAATGCAGAAGCACTTTAGTTAACTAGATCCCACTAGTCCATTTCACTTTTGTTGCAATTGCTTTTGGCATCTTCATCATGAAATCTTTTCTGGTATGTCCAGAATGGTATTGCCTAGGTTGTCTTCTAGGGTTTTTATAGTTTTGGATGTACATTTAAGTCTTTGATCCATCTTGAGCTAATTTTTCTGTATGGTGTAAGGAAGGGGTCCAGTTTCAGTCTTTTGCATGTGGCTAGCCAGTTATCCCAGCACCATTTGTTGAATAGGAAATCATTTACCCATTGCTTGTTTTTGTTAGGTTTGTCAGAGATTAGGTGGTTAGGTGTGCAGCCTTATTTCTGGGTTCTCTACTCTGTTCCATTGACCTATGTGTATGTTTTTGTATCAGTACCATACTGTTTTGGTTACTATAGCCCTGTAGGATACTTTGAAGTTGGGTAGCCTGATGCCTCCAGCTTTACGCTTTTTGTAATGCCCTTCTTTGACTTTTTTTTATTTTTGTTGGTTTAAAGACTGTTTTGCCTGAAACTAGTATTGCAACCCCCGCTATTTCCTGTTTGCCATTTGATTGATAGATTTTTCTCCATCTCTATTTTGAGCCTGTGTGTCATTGCATGTGAGATGGATCTCTTGAAGACAGCATACTAATAGGTCTTGATTCTTTATCCAGATTACCACTTTTAATTGGGGCATTAGTCCATTTACATTTAAGATTAGTATTTATATGTGTGGATTTGATCCTGTCATCATGATGTTAGCTGGTTGTTTTGCAGACTTGTTTATGTGGTTGCTTTACAGTGTCACTAGTCTGTATACTTCAGTGTGTTTTTGTAGTGGCTGATAACAGTCTTTTCTTTCCGTATTTAGTGCTTCCTTCAGGAGCTCTTGTAAGACAGGTCTAGTGATAATGAATTCCCTCAGCATTTCCTTCTCTGAAAAGTTTCTTATTTCTCCTTCACTTATGAAGCTTAGTTTGGCCAGATATGAAAATCTGGGTTGAAATTTGTTTTCTTTAAGAATATTGAATGTTGGCCCCCAGTTTCTTCTGGCTTGTAGAGTTTCTGCTGATAGGTCCACTGTTAGTCTGATGGACTTTCCTTTGTAGGTGTACTTTCCTGGCCTTTCTCTCTAGCTGCTTTTCCCATTTTTTTTTTTTTTTTTTTCATTTCAACCTTGAAGAATCTGATGATTGTGTCTCTTGGAAATGATCTTCTTGTGAAGTATCTTACTGGGATTCTCTGCATTTCCTGTATTTGAATGTTGGCCTCTTTAGCCAGGTTGGGGACATTCTCATAGAAGATACCCTGAAATATGTTTTCCAAGTTGGTTTCATTCTCCCCATCTCTCAGGAACACCAACAAGTCATAGAGTTGGTCTCTTTACATAATCTCATTTTTTTAGAAGTTTTGTTCCTTCCTTTTCATTCTTTTTTCTCTATTGTTGTCTGACTGTCTTATTTCAGAAAGCCAGTCTTGAAGCACAGAGATCTTTTTTTCCACTGGGTCTATTCTGCTATTAATATTGGTAATTGCAATATGAAATTCTTGTAGTGTGTTTTTCAGCTCCATCAAGTTGGTTATGTTCTTATCTATACTGGCTATTTTATTAGCTCCTGCATTGTTTTATCATAATTTTTAGCTTCCTTAGGTTGCATTTCAGTGTACTTCTGTAGTTCAATGATCTTCATTTCTATCCTTATTCTGAATTACACTTCTGCCATTTCAGCCATCTCAGCCTAGCTCAGAATCCTTGCTTGTGAGGAGATGGAGTTGTTTGGAGAAAAGAAGGCACTCTGGCTTTTTGAGTTGTCAAGGCTCTTGCCCTGATTATTTCTTATCGTTGTGGGCTTATTTTCCTTTAATCTTTGAGATTGCTGATCTTTGGACAGCAAAGGTCATCTAACCTTTTTTATTTATCCTATTTGATGACCTTGAGGCTTTGATTATGGTATAAGGTGGATTCAGCCAACTGATTTCATTTCTGGAAGATTTTAGTTGGCCAATGTTCTATCCCAACTCCTGGACTGCATGCTATAATTCTTTGGGGTCTGTACTGGGCCCTGACTTTGTTCTCTGTTTCCTCAGAGTTAGGAATCCACTGTGATGGCGGGGAGGAGGGGAGAAGGTGGCAGTCCAAAGTGCTCCCAGATCACTGGTCACTACACACCAATGAGTGGTGTCAGCCAAGGTGTTTCATAGTGCAGTGACAGTAGGATCTGTCCTTGTTTGCATGTGCCAGCAGCGGTGGTAGTGGCAGTTGCAGCAAAGTACTAGTGGGTGCCAAGGTGCCTGCCTCCCTGCAGGCATCCACCACAGTGGCAGAGGCCATGCAGCTGTTCGAAGGGCAGGAGAGACTCTGCTGGCAACTATGTGTGTGGTCACATGGGAGGTGGTGTTGGCTCAGGGGCAGGGCATTGGCAGGTGCAGGTCTGTGTGCCTTTTCTGTATAGGAGTGGTCACTCAGGGTGGGGGAGGATCTGCTCTTCTCTGCACAGTGTTAGCACAGGGTGGGGTGATGGAGGGATTGGGGCTGGCTGGCTCTCTGCCCACCAAGGATCTGTCTGCAATGGGGGTCAGTAGGGGAGTGACGGGGGGTGAACTGCACTCCCACTTGCTGGTGAGGCAAGGAAAACAGCAGACAGGTACCAGCAAAGTGACGTAGGGAGTTGCTGTGGGCCCAGGGGAAGCTGCAGTGTGGGGAGGCAGCATGCAGGCTGGTGCCTGGTCAAAGCGGCCTCCTTGCTGGAGCGCTCCACTCACTGATCAGGCATGGTCTGCCAGTGTAGAAGCTATGGTGCAGGCCCACAAGGCTCCTGAGGCTACGCTGCAAGCAGATGTGGCCAGGCTGGAGTCCCAGGAGAGGCCAGAAGATGAAGCGTGCTCAGATAGAACCAGCTCCATCTGATGGGCAAGACCACCCTACAGATTTCAGGACTAACAGTTCCTCTAGGGCTAATGTCTCCTATGGGAGTAAGTTCAGCCTAGAAAAATGGCCATTCCTGGCCATGCTCCACTGCAGACACTCCTGCACCAAATCCTCTGGGCTCCACACCAGCTGGCTTGCTGCCCCCACCACTTCTCTAAATGGCTCTCCCTGCCAGCTCAAGTGTCCGTGGTGGTGGATGGGTCTCCTCCTGCCGTGGTTCCAGAGGCTGAGAGTGGGTTGCTCCTTGTCAGTTCAACTCACCTATTTCCCTGGAGCCACTGGAGGACAGGAATGAGTGTGGATGTGCTGTAGCCTCATGTAAGCTTCCCAGCCTTCTCCCCATCAGCCCAGCCTCTGTGTCTGCCCTCTGTCCACTCTAAGTGCCTTCCATCTGAACATCTGTTAGGAGCATGCCAGTCGTCTGGGTTCTTCGGTGAGAGCTGTTCCACCTGGCTGCATCTAGTCAGCCATCTTGCCCTCCCCCCAACAAGATATTTTTCAATAAAATTTGTGGACACTAAAGAAAAAGAAAATACCATCTGGACATCTCAGCAAAAGTAGCAATGACTTGTTAATAATTAGGTTATCATCAGACTTTTTGATAGCAGCTATGTGAAAATGTAGTAACTTTTTAAGATACTCAAGAGCAGAAAATAGAACCAAGATTTTTATATCTGCAAAACTGACTTTCAAGTATGAAGTGCAAGAACTTCCGGCTATAGACTGAATGTGCCCTCCCAAGATTCATACAATGAAATCCAAACATCCAAGGTGATGGTATTAGGAGATGATGCCTTTGGAAGGTGATTAGGTCGTGAGGGTGTGGCCTTTGTGAATGCGATTAGGGTCCTCATAAGGGAGACTCCAGAGAGCTCTCTCTTTTTTTACCACGTGAGGACTTAGTGAGAAGATGCTGCCAGCAGGCCCTCACCAGATCCCTACCAGGTTTTCGCCCTGATCTTGGACCCAGCCTCCAGAACTATGAAAAATACATTTCTGCTGTTTTAGGCCATCCAGTCTCTGGTAGTTGTTATAGTAGCTCATACAAACTAAGACACTTTCCTTAGTCTTCCTGAGGCACCTAGGAGAAATAATTTCAAACAATCACAATGACTATATCCATAATTTATAATTCTTTTGGTATCAGGATCTCTTTTTATTCATAAAATTGTTGAAAACACCAAGAAGCTTTAGTTTATACAGGTTATGTAAAGTGACATATATATATATATATATATATATATATATATATATATATATTTTTTTTTTTTTTTTTTTTTGAGACCAAGGCTTGCTCTGTCACCAGGATGGAGCACAGTGGCACGATCTTGGCTCACTGCAACCTCCAACTTGCTGGTTCAAGGGATTCTCCTGCCTCAGCCTCCCTAGTAGCTGGGATTACAGGCATGTACCACCATGCCCAGCTAATTTTTGTATTTTTAGTAGAGACAGAGTTTCACCATGTTGGCCAGAATGGTCTCACTCTCCTGACCTCGTGATCCACCCGCCTCAGCCTCCTAAAATGCTGGGATCACAGGCGTGAGCCACTGCTCCTAGCCCCATTTATTTGTTTTTAAATAACAATGACAAACTCATTACATGTTTCCATAATAACTTATTTTTATGGAAAATAGCTGTCTTTTCAAGCACAGATAAATAGTGAAAAAGAAGGAATTATTTAACATTTGTAAAAATCTCTTTAATGTCTGGCTTAATAAAACTAGCTTGGTTATATATTCTTCTACATTCAATCTGTAACAGTATGTTGTTTTGGCTGAGGTACAGAAAGAAAATCTCATCTCACTGAGATACACAGTGGGAAAAGGAGGAAAATTTCAATAGCCTTTTCAGCTATTGTAACTATTCTTCCTTGATAAGACACTAAAACTCAACAAATGGCAGATTCTTACAGGTTAGTTGCGGTGTAGAATCTGAAACCTTATCAATTAACTTTTCATATTCTGTTATGTTAAAATTCACTAGTCTATCTTTAAATGGATCTTTTCATCTATGCATGGCTTTGCAATATCATGCATTGATTATTTGTAAATTACTGGTTCATGGGGTTATGCAGATCTTTAAAGTACTGACATATTTTATGAAACAATGTTTTTAAAACCATATTTGTTAATATCACCACCCATCTCATCAGGAAAATCTTGAAGTAGTGAGAAGCTGCGGCACACATAAGTTTTCCAAAATTTTAATTTTCTCTTGAAATTCCAATTTCCACTGTCAATATTATTTTCTTTGATAGGATAAGCTCATTTTGTTCATTTTTGAGAAAATTTCTACCAAATACCCAAGTCTGAATAATCACATTGTGACTTTCAGTCATTCTTTCAAGGAAAATGATGATCCGCCCATTAAAAAAAAAAAAAAAGGAACACCTAGCTTCACTCACAACTCATGCAATTATACAATGGCTTTTCCGCAGAACAACTGCCTTTCCATCAGTATGCACCAGAAATGCTGCCTATTTTCTTACACTGAATATTAAACAGATGTGTGCTTGAGGTTTAAAATTTAGTAAACTAATGATTTTATTGCTTCATCAAAGTCACTGGTTCTTTCTTTCTTTCTTTTCTTTACTGTAAGCTTAGGGCAGTGGAGAACATGACTACCTACACGACTTGGTGTCACCGCCTTGATTTGTGCTGAGGCACTAACCATCTCACCTACCATAGATTTCTGCACCACTATGCAAATTATACAGTGAAAAAGGCAAATAACAGCATTGTTACAAAAATGCTTGACTTCATAGGCCCCTTGAAGGGTCCCAGGGACCCCCATGGATCCAAGGATCACACGTGAAAAATGCCACATGACAGGGACATCAGCATAGGGAATCATGGTGAGCATTAAACATAGCTCAACTCACAGAACTAGGACTCATAAGGCAGCAAGTAATCTCTGTAATGGCACAAGATCAATTAGCATAGACATAGTTCAACTAGGAAGGTGGGGAGAACATAGGTAAGAATGGAGAATGTAGCTAAAAAGAATGTCAACCGTTTTTAGTAGTCATTTTGTGGTTGTAGTATGAACGTTATTATCCTTAGACTGCTGTCTATGTTCATCCAGGAAAAGCAAATAAGTATGGACTTTCTTACAGTGTCTGTCCCTGCATCCTTAAAAAACAGAGTTCTTGGTGTAAAAGAAAGGAGATGCAGACGTAATATAGAAAAGACTGATTTTTTTAAATGTATACATATATAAATGTTATATTTCCATTGAACAGGCCGGACACAATGACCACTCCTATCTGTTTAGGCTCCTCCACAACCCCTCTCCCTGCTTTCTTTCCATGTCCTGACTGAAAAATCACAGAATGCCTCTGTGACCCAGCCAACTGCAGATTTTCCCCAGCAGGCCTGAACCCAAGCCAAGGCCTTGAACACTCCCAGGCACTAGGTATCTAGCTTGTTGCCCTGAATGCTGAAGCTGTGTCCCAGCCCTGAGTCAAATTCTTTAAACCCTCATATAAACTCCATACCCTGACCCCCTCAATGCAGAAATACCCAGGCAGAACATCCCTTTTCTCTTGCTGCCTGTTAAGACTCCTGAAGGCCTCCACAGGTAAATTCCCCAAATAAATGCTTTGGACTGATCACCCTGGCATTTCATGCTTCTTTCTTTGAATCCTGACCCACACCACCTCAGGATGGTTTGAAGCACTTCCTTGTGGAAACTCCCTTGCCGCCACTTCTGAGGTGACTCAAGCAGTGGGTTCAGTAGGATGAAGCTCCCTAACTCTAGATTATAGTCTTAAATGTCATTTCCCACTAAAATAAACCAGAGATTTCTGAAAAAAATGGCTACCTCCTGGTCTGGGCAAGAAATGAAGAGAATGAACCAGAAACATCTTGTCATCCCAGATAACAAAGAAATTATCAAAAGAACTTTGTGTCAAAAGAACTCAGTTTCATTTTTAGCCACTTGAAGAAGTTTTCACTCACCAAAAATAAAGCATGTAAGCTTCAACAAACATAAAAATTGCAATAGAGTAAAATCTATCAAACATTTAAATCCTTCTGTTTATACTTACTTAAAAAATGAAAAGTAAAGCCTGATTGGCATCTGTAGATTTTATTACAATTAGGAAACCAACTTATTAGCTCAAAAATTGGTAAATAAAAGGAGAGTCAAACATTGATTCTGCCTTTCCACTAACTAATAAGTGAAGGGAAATGTCTCTTCACTAGCAAAGGAAAAGAAGTGTCTCTTTATAGCATTAATGAAGCATATAAATGAAGAAAAAATGAAAGAATATCACCATTTAACAATCCCCAACAAATTAACAACCTAGGCAATTGATATCAATGATTGCGAACATCACAAAAAGAGAAACAGCTGGAAATTTCATCTCGTGGTGAATGACCACAGTACCACGTATAGACTTTCCAGAGGAAAAGATCAAACCAGAGTCTGATCCAGCCTCTGTGTTCAGATGCCAATTTGCAGGAGATACAGAGGGCAGAGGGCAGAGGACGTGTTACACTGTACCATGTGTATGCAGCCAGCAAAATCCAGAGTGTGGGAAATGCTACTGGTCAAATGGCTCGAGCTTTTCAGCAGATTAATCATAAGAGGACACAAAGGCAGATGAGAGAGAAACCAGTGAAGTGTAAGAGACGTAAAAGGCAACTAAGCTGTAGCGTCCAGGAACACAAACCTGGGGGAACAGACTACAAAAAAAGGCAAGAAAGAGGTTACCAGAAAGTCAGGATATGAACACTTTTGAGGGAGGGAAAGGTTTTGATTGGCCTGAGGTACACAGAGACTTCTGCTGAAGCTGGCAAAGTCCTGTTTCTTGACTTGATTACAGGGAGTTTTCCTTAAATAATTCACTAAATTATACATTTTGCGTGGTTCTCTGTATCTCCATTTTATTCTACAACAAAGAGGTTTTTGGAAACAGTGACTACCTGAGCCTTTGTCTTCTGAAGACTGTGGAGACTGCAGTTGGAAGACGGAAAGCTTTGGAGATCATGGCTTATAGGGGCAGGGCTGGACCACAGAAAAGTAAATGATTTGGGGCTGGAAGAAGTAAGGTCTTAGGGGAGTTTCTGGACAGAGTCCTTGGCAATGGGGATTAAAGATGTACACACGTAGGAGGGAGAAGGGCAGATGGGTGGGAGATGCATAATCTCAGAGCACAGAGTTCCAGAATCACATTGGACTCCTCCAAATATCAAGGAGGAGAGTTATTCCCAGAACACTGGCCTCAGGAACGTCCTTTACCTCACCCAGGGCCCAGACTACCCATCACTACTTTATGCTCCAGGGAGAGAAGCTTCCGTGAGGACTTTAGCATGGCTGAGGGAGCAGAACTGCTCTTGAGGCCTGGAGGAACAGTGATGAAGGTCTCAGGAGGCAGCCTTACCACCCCCCATAGCCATTCCAGAGACACAGGAGACAGTGCCACCCAGACAAAACCAACGTTACTCCTCCCTACCCCCATGGCATCTCCCTCTGGCCAAAGAACTGGGAGAACGATCTGCCACTCAAAGACAAGGAAAAGGAGACATTACCTCATCACCAGACATCTTCGTCCCCACATGTCCTGGAAAGAAATCGAGAAAAGAATGGATTGCCCCAGTTAGGACCAAATATGATTATCCTGGGAGGGAAGACAAATGGCTGGCAACATCAGCACTCTCTCTCTGTGTATTCCCCATTTCTAGCTTCAGAAAAAATTATCCCAGTGATCCCTGAGAGGTACAATCAGCTCTCCTTACCTCAGATCTTTGACGTTAGGGAAGACGGGAGCAGGGAAGCCCTTGGGCAGGTGGCAGGGCTCTCCTCACAGGCTCGTTACCTTTCTGAGCCCTGAGCTGGATGACGATCCCCACCAGAAGGAAGATTAGCCCAAGTAGGAAGGCTGCAATGCCACTCAGCATCTTTCTCCAAGAATATCCAGACTGAGCTCCTATGGGAAACAGGTCTTAAAATTAGCAAAGATATCCCAATATTTAATCCACCTTCTTGAAATCCCAGAATCTATACTAGATACCAAATCCAATGCTAGCTAGAGAAAAATAAATAAATTTAGAAATGGTTCATTGAAACCAAAATTGGCACCCATGGAGTTATAACCCACCTGTTACTGATTCTTACAACCCATAGGAATGTCTCCTAATTACTAAGACCAAAGAATTAGAGGATACCAGTTTATAGGGTTGGAAGCATATAATGAGGTGATTAGACCTCCTTATTTCTTGGAAGATATGAGGATACATATCTGCCATGTTTTCTCCCACCCTAACCCAAGAACTCTGGTTTCCGTGACTGTCCCAAATCAAGGGAAAGAAGAATTCATGTTGTGAGCCAGAAGTGACACAGGCTCTGTCTTGAGTCAGTATAGTCCTGAGTCAGGCCCAGAGAGCACTAGAAACTAATTCTCACTCCACTCCACAGAAACAGGGCTCAGCAGGCTGGAGTGATCAACAAGGCAGGTGTAGACATCTCCAAGTTCAGGAGTCATTTCCAGCATCACCACAGTCTGAAAGGTCCAGTCTCCATTCCCGATAAGGCCAGTGGACAGGACCCCAACTCTCTCCTCCTGCCCATTCAGGAACCAGCTAATCTTGATGTCCCCTGGATAGAAGCCCGTCACAGAGCAGAGCAGCAGATTATGCTGGTGCAGGAGTGGGGTCCTCTCTGGGTACACCGTTACCTCTGGTTGCACTAGGAAGGGGGAGAAATGAGACGCCGTGAAGGAAAACCACCAAGCTGGGACAGGAGATTCTTTAGGGACTATCACTACCTCTCTTTCCCAGACCACCCAAGTGAACACAAAGTATAGGCAAGTCTCAGGCCCCAAGATCAGTAACAGGGTATGTCAATGCTTGCCAGGAGGATTTAGACTTTCTGAGGTACTCCCACAATCACTGCTTTTCCAGCCCACTTAGAGGGTAGAAGTCCCCGACAGCCTTGGGGGTCTAACAGCAAGACCACAGTGGTGGATTTGTGAGGATAATGCGTCACAGCTGGGGACAGAACGTGTACACAGACAACCATTAATCCTAAAGCAGAAAATTGCTTATTATAAGGAAGAAAAGCCATGGCCAGATTCACATGGGGGACATTCCTGAGCCCCGCCAGACCCCACCTTTCACCTCACCTTTTCTCCCCACAGTGAAGGGTGCACCCAGCCTGTAATTGTGTCTACAGACCGTATCCACTGCCTCCCTGCTCCTCTCCAAGAGATCCAACCGGCTGTTCCACTGCTCAGCATCTGGCTGCCCCAGGTTCGTCAATGCCACGAACATCCCCACATCGCTGTCGAAATGTGCATACTCCTCCAAGTTAAAGATGAATCTGACCACGAACTGCACCTTTTCTGTCCCGTTGGTGAAGTAACAGTCAGCTTTGGCCTGAATCACAAAATCTTCTGGAAAACCAAAACAGAGACCATGAACCAGCTCCCTCCTTGGGGAAAACCCATGCCTGGCAAATTACATCAGAGCACATGGATCTAAGAGGAGGCCTTCAACCTCAGTATGCTTAAAAAGCACAGTGTCGAGTGAGAAAAGAAACAGAATGTGATTCAATGCACAATGACATTTATTAAATTTTTTAAATACATCATAAAGAAAAACAATGCTACATATTTTTAAAGACCACTCTTATACTTAGAGACATCCCAGACACCTTTAGAATGGATTCTGTAGGGAGGGAAGAGAATGAGAATGGAGGCAAGGGAAGAGAGGAGAGAGTCTTGTACTACTGCCAATGATTACAGTGTGCTGTGAACTCACTGGACAAAATTAACCCAATTCTATGTACTTGAGAACAACAGCTACAATAAAAAGGAAATTCATATGGGGTTATTGATACAGTAAGTCAGGAAGGACTTCCTGAAGAAATTGAGACATGAAGGATAATTGCTATTAATCTTGGGTTGTAAATTTACTTTCATTTCTAAGTTCAGAGGCCTCCTCCAACTCTGAACTGAGCCATAAGAATGACCTTCCTGGATCAACCACACTTATCCCTCACTCAGTAGCTAATTTCAGATGAAATTCCAGCCTGCAGTTTCTCAGCATGTATATTCTTCTCTGTTTCCTCTAGTAGTCTAAACCAGCGGAGGGAAACCTGAATCTTTCATCATCATTTAAAAATCTATGCTGATTTTTGTTCGGTTGTATTGCCGAATGGGCATTATAAACTCAGGGCAGTTTCTATTCTCTAATAATGATGAGCTCCCCCAGCCAGGTTTGTTCCTCTTTTGAGTTTAATGAAACTAACATGCAAAGGGGATTCTGTTCTTAGCACATTACATCCTGTTTCTGCCGTGCTTTCATGGTCTCACATTGCTTCATGGCTGCATAGGTGATTGATACATACAATAGGAACCCTAAACAAGACACAATGTTTCCCTCTTCCTGCGTCCCTACCCCTTGAATAGGTGGCTCTGGCATATGAAGTTCATCCTATGTAAAGAGGGAAGGAGGACCTTTCTGCCAAAGGGAAGAACACAGCTCTTTGAAGCCAAAAGCCACTTCCAGTCTGGTCTGTGGCCTGGACTTATAAGGAAAGGCTTCGCTCCCCCATGGCAATTCTTGCATACACACTGGAAAAAATAATTGCTCTGTTCTTACCTGGAGAGTCTGTGCCTTGAGTCACGGAGGAATCCAGTCTGGTCAGATTCACTAGCAGAGCCACCACCCAGGGGAGCCACCTAGAATCCATTCTAGAGAAAGGAAAAAAATGAGATAATAAAATCATCAGCCTCTTCAGGATGGGTTCATATCTCAAAAAATATTCATTAAGAGTATAAGCAGCTGTTATTCTGGCTTCCCCAGGATTGGAAACTCCTCAGATTGACAACCAATCAACATAGAAGAGTTTTACATCATCGGGTGCTGGGTAGGATGCTTTCACAAAGTTGTGTCATACCACTCAAGCATTGTTTGCCTGCAGAATCACTGACAGTAATTTAGGTATATTAAAAATGGGCTGGAAGAAGAAGTAAAAATATATGTTCTACATAGTATGGGGCCCTAGAAGAACTAGGCAGATTATTTATTATGTATTCTTCTATTCCCTGGCCTGTTCTGACCAATAGGTCTCCCATTCTATGGGGTGTTGACATTGCCAGCAGAGAGTGTATAAATTAAGAAGGAATTAAGAGTATGTAAATTAAGTATTCTGAAGCATATGCATCAAGAGGATTTAGTAAAGGGATTCTCAGAGAAGAAATAGAAGACATAGAGAACATTTGGAGAGTACAATTTCCTTCAAGCCAAAAGGAACACAAAAAAAGAAAAGAAAAAAAATAGAAATTCTCAAAGAATAGAATTCTGCAAAAAGGTTCACTGGGATACAATATAAAAGAGCATTATTGTGTTTTATGATTAGTAGGGCACCAATAACCTTCAGGAGAACAGCAGAGTGTTAAAGGTAGAAGCCATATTTCAAAAGAGTGAATTGGAAAGAAGAAAACAAAGGCAGCAGATGAAAACAGTCTTTCAAGAATTTTGAAAGTGAAAACAACGGAAAAATGGGACACACTTGAGAAAAAAAAAAAACACTAAAAAATACTTTTCTTGGGTTTTTTAATTGACATGTAATAATTGTACATATTTATGGGGTACAGCATGATGTTTCAACACATGTATGCATTGTGTGGTGATCAAATCAGGGTAATCAGTAAGTATTAGCAGCTACCCCAGGGAATCACTCACACCTACAACACACTCTGTATGAATGAGAAACATTGTGTATATATACACTATGGAATACTATTCAGCCATAAAAAAGCATGAAATCCCGTCATTTGCAACAACATGGGTGAAGCTGGAGGGCCATATGTTACGTGACATAAGCCAAGAACAGAAGGACAAATACTGCGTGATTTCACTCATATGTGGAATCTAAAAAAGTTGACCTCATTGAAGTAAAGGTACAGTAGTAGTTACCAGAGGCTGGGGAGTAAGGGTAGAAATGGGGGGAGGTTGGTAATGAGTACAAAGTTACAGCTAGAAGGAATGAGTTCTGGTGTTCTGGGAAAATAAACTTTTAAGATAGGAGAGGTCTTAACAAGCTTCCAAGTGAAGTGGAAGAAAAAAAAAAAAAAAAAAGAAGAAGAAGAAGAAAGGGGAAATTTTCTCCAAAATGCTGTGGTCTGAAAGTCACTCAAAAGCCATGTGTTCCAACTTAATCACCAATGTGATAGTATCAAAAGGTGAGGTCTTTAGCAGGTGATTAAGCCATGAATACAGAAGCCTCCTGAATGGGATTAGACTTTATTAAAACAGCTAGAGAGAGCAGGGATGATGGCTCATGCCCATAATCCCAGCATTTGGGGAGGCTGAGGAGGAAGATATCTTGAGGCCAGGAGTTAGAGACCAGCCTGGAAAACACAGTGAAATCCTGCGTCTAAATTTAAAAAAAAAAAAAAAATTAATGAAAAAAGACCATGGTGGCATGCACCTGTGGTCTTAGCTACTTTGGAGGCTGTGGTGGGAGGATTGCCTGAGCCCAGAAGTTCAAAGTTGCAGTGAGCCATGAACACACCACTGCACTCCAGCATGGGTCACAGAGCAAGGCCCTGTCTTAATCAATCAATCAATTAATAAAAAGAGAAGGTCTGGAGAGAATAGCTTGGCACTGTTGCCCTCCTGCCTTCCTTCTTGTAAGGACTGTTACACTGGAATGATTTGATGCAAGTGTTTAGTGAAGTATTCTTTCAGTAAAACCTGGACATTAAAACACCATTTTTAAGCAAATGAAACCAAAGTTCAAATTGCAATTCACCATCTATCTTCTTATTTAAAAGGTGATGCTCACTCATCATTTCACATCGTCTTTCAGCATGAAATGTGGCCCTGATTTGTCTATGCTATGTGTGTTAAGAATGAACCCAGGAAATCATGGTGACCAGAGTTCACTGCAGTGACTTATTTTTCAAGTCAATGGCCAAGGCGTCAAATCTTCTAGAGCGTTGACCTTGAACTTCTAGTTGCAGAACTGAATAATAAATTTCTGTTCTTCATAAATTACCCTGTCTCACGTATCTTGTTACAGTAACACAAATGGACTCATCTAGAGAGCACAAGTCTTGGGGGAGGAAAGGAACACTTCTTCAGGTAACAGAACAAAGACAGGATGATTAGTGGGGGAGAAAGGGGAATGAGGGAGCTCATTTAGATGGTTGCAATGGACTCAGCTGAGAACAAGGCAAGATCTGTCAGAAAGGAGCTGGAAGAAAACATATTTGATAACTAAGAAGAGCAATAAGTGGTCTGCAAGTGAGTTTTTAAAGTTTTAGTTAAGCAGGATTCAGAAAAGAGTGGTGAAAGGCAATTGTGCGACCTTTTACTGTTCTGTGACCCTTAGTAAACATGCCCTTGGTTAGAGGCCTTGATCAGACCAATCAGAAAAATAATTTCTTCTCCATGGAAGATTATAACAGGCAAAGAAGAAGAGAGCAAGACGTGGAAGACATCATGAGTGCTTATCCTCTAATTCCTAGGCCCATGGAAAACGAGAAACTAGACCTCCTACTCTCCTGGAGCTGTGTGACTTGTTCTCACCAATGGAAAGTGAACAAAAGGTTCCTGGTCAAAGAATTTAATTCCCTGTGCATGACTCTTCTCCTTCCCTACCGAGTCAACCAAGACAGCCTTGTGAGATGGCACAATCCCAATATAAAAGCAGTCTAATTAGCTGAGTCACCGTGAAGAGCAGCTGCCCCAGGGAATCACTCACACCTACAATCCACTCTGTATGAATGAGAAACAACTGTTCTTTAATGAAGGCAATGGAGGTTGTCGGTTACCACAGCCCGGCCTGACTTGACTTAACCTCCACAGGACAGGAGCTAGGATGCTGCTCCATCCCCCTCCACATCTCTCATGTAAATATGACAATTCATGAAGCAGAAGGCTGGCCACAGGCTTACTGTTGGACCCCACATACAAGGCATTTGACCCCGATTGTGAGTACTCCTCCTCCGGGTGGATGGCTGTGGAGCTCCTGCTCGTGAGGGCTTGTGTGAAGCTGAGGAAAAGGAAGCATCAGAGGGCGCTCAAGCCGCTGGGTCTAACTTCCTCTCTTCTTCCTGCCGACACCTGCTTCAGTCTTTCCCAAGTGTTTTATCACATTTGGAAATAGAGACAAACGCCCAGCTTAAGCTAAGTGAACAAGGGCATGGCACAGAGATGATCAGACGCAGTAACAGCGTGAGTGGGTGGAAGAGGCGTGTGTCCCCTTCTTTGTAGAAGCACCAGGCTGGGCTTCTGCAGCTTCCTTCAGAGACGAAGGAGGGGCCACGTGGAGAGGAGAGGAAGGGTCTAGGTAACATGGATCAAATGGGGGCCTGTGTTTGGATTTAGAGGAGAGAGGGGTTGATAGATGGCAAAAGGTGGGGAGGAAGCGGAGGATATGGTGCTGGACCAGAAAGTTTTTCTTGTGTAAATGTGTCTGAGGCTCACAAACTCTAAAATCTGACTTGCCTCCATAATAATAACAGCTAACGTTTGTCAATTGCTTATTATGAGTTCATTTTCTAAGCACTATATAAACGTGTGTGTGTGTGTGTGTGTATGTGAGAGAGAGACAGAGAGAGAGAGAGAATAATCACAAAACGCTTTGCAGTAGATGCTATCATGATCTCCCTTTTACAGATGAAGTAAAGATGGAATGAACCAAAGGTTCATAACAAGTAAGTCCCTAGGCTGTACTGTTTCCATCACACTGTATTTCTTGGGCATCCAGAGAAATTTTATTCCTACACCTTTAGCATTCCTGTAATGATAAGGTACACAAAAAGGCAAAAATAACAAGAATTTCATCATAGCTATTTGGTATCAGGACAGATCTCTGTCAGGAAATCATATCCTATCCAACAAAAGGAAATCGGAGGTCTCATATCACAAGCAAGGAATGGCATACAGCCTGTCAATGGGAACTAAGGAGAGAAAGCAATAAGCTTCAGCTACCAAGCTATGGATCTCCTTGGTCAATGGCCTCTGGTACATCATAAATAAACTGAAGCATCAGATTTACCCAGTTAGAAGCATTTTTGAGTCATTTTCTTTGCTTAGTGTCAGTGTCTACAGTAAAATGCTTATCAGAGACACTGTTCAGTTCTGGGGAGACAACAGGGAAAAGGTGTGGTTTGCTTCCTTTCTCCCGTATTTTTGTTTTTGTCTTCTACCTGAATGAGCCTGAAAAATAGGGCAGGGTGTTTTGATCTTTCTCTTTCTGTCTGACTTCAGCCAGCTGCCCTCCCTAAATAGCTATAAGTTTCTCTGTGATTTTTTATTCAAGCTGATATTTTGCTTCTCTCTTTTCTTTCCTTCCCTATTTTCTGAGGTGAGAGAATTTAGGTGTATGTGTGGTTGTTTTTTTGGGTGGTATGAAATTATTATTCTCCCTATTGCCTGACAGAAATATCCCTTCAAGTGCTATTTTGGTGACTTTAACATGGAAGTACAATGTTCGTCTAAATTCATTTTCTTCCTCCTACTTCCTCCTAACACTTTAACGTAATCCACACTGCCCTGGAGGAGTTATGAAAAATATTCTGAGTGGCTAGATGGACAATTAAAACATTTTTAGAGAACAGTATTGTTGAGCTACAGTTTCATTGAAGGAATTGTACTAGGCTGAGAATTTTGCCAGCTCAAAATACTGGCTTAATTCTTTCTGAGTGGTGATTGACATCTCAAACTAGCAAGAGGTGGAACGTGAAGGGAAGGGGCCAGTGAAGAAGGAAAGGATGTGAGAAACAAAAGAAATAGTTAGAATTTGGGGTGTCCCAGGCAAACCCATGATCCCAC